AAGGTAAATTAATAAATCAAATCGAACGTAATGTCTCCCTCGGTCTCATTTGCGTAACAAGTTGTCACATGACGAATCTGCATTTTGGCGGAAAGCCTATGGTCTAAGTCTTGCCTGCTGTGTGGCATAAAAGGATATTCAGCGTTTTTTTTTTTACAAAATAAACGAACTGCAGAGAAATCTGGAGATCAGATGAAGATTTCGATGCCGAGTTTGACTCCGGACCTGGACAATCAGATAAAGGTGATCCCGAGGACGCAGCTGTTTTAGCGGCTCAGTGTTCTACTTTTATGTAGACATGTACATCCAAATGTTATTTAATTTGCAAAGAACCAAACCTAAAAATAGATTTTAGAATGTAAACCGTTTAATAGTCTATTTGCATTAAGACTTATTTGTGCCCCTGCCATTGTGCATTAACTTGAATCAAGCCCAACACATGCCTGTTTTAAAACAGTTGATAAGTAATTCACCCTCTGATTTGCTTAATAAAAGTTTAACAGTTTGCGAATGACTCATAATTGCATCCTAATTGAGTTTATTGGTGTTTGGTAACGAAGGGCCTACTTTGCATCAGCAGCACTGACTCAATGACAAACAAGTCATTCATAAGAAGACAACTGAGGCACCTGTATTCATAGCTACTAGTTTCTAACTAATTAGTCATGTGGTTGTTAATCATAAATATAATAATATTGTATGTGTCATTCATGCAGACATGCAAAACCATGATCCTACTAAACAGCTACTTCAATTAGGGTAGATGCGTCCAGCTATTTTTAGCTGTACAAAACAATTCGTTTTGCTGCTTGATATTGAAAATTGGTCTGTCTTATATTATTTTAATGTATAATCTTAATTATGAACACACTGGTTTGTAGTGCAAATAGTTTTACCATTTACTGCATGTTGTTATTCTTTTCATTATTCGCTGGTTTGAATCCTATCTCACTGGTAGGTCTTTCAGGGTGGCTTGGGGAGGGGAGGTATCCAAAGCACATCAACTGGTCACTGGGGTTCCTCAGGGCTCAGTTCTAGGATCGCTTCTCTTCTCCATATACACAACATCACTGGGTCCCATCATACAGGCACATGGCTTCTCCTACCATTGCTATGCTGCTACACAGCTCTATCTCTCATTTCAACCAGATGATCCAACGGTAGCTGCACAGATCTCAGGTTGCCTGGCGGACATCTCGGCATGGATGAAAGAATATCACCTACAGCTCAACCTGGCAAAGACTGAGCTTCTTGTCTTCCCTGCCACTCCAACTCTACAGCATGATTTCACCATCCAGCTAGGTTCTTCTACAATTACCCCATCGACTTCGGTCAGAAATCTTGGTGTAACCTTTGATGACCAGCTGACCTTCAAAGACCACATTGCAAAGACCGCTCGATCTTGCAGGTTTGCATTGCACAACATCAGAAAGACCAGGCCCTTTCTAACGGAGCATGCTGCACAACTTCTTGTCCAGGCCCTTGTCATTTCTAGGCTGGACTACTGCAATGCTCTTCTGGCTGGACTTCCATCAAGCACAATCAAACCTCTACAAATGACTCAGAATGCAGCGGCACGACTGGTCTTCAACAAGCCCAAAAGAGCCCATGTTACACCTCTCTTTATCGCCTTGCACTGGCTACCAGTTGCGGCTCGAATCAAGTTCAAGACATTGATGCTTGCATATAGAACAGCCACAGGCTCAGCACCCACCTACTTCCACTCACTACTACGAATCTACATCCCCTCCAGAAGTCTGAGATCCGCTAGTGAGCGACGCCTCGTGGTACCATCACAGAGAGGCTCAAAATCACTTTCCAGAACATTCTCGTTCACCGTTCCTGGCTGGTGGAACGATCTCCCCACCCCTATCCGGAATACTGAATCCCTGACCAGCACCCGCCTACTTCCACTCACTACTACGAATCTACATCCCCTCCAGAAGTCTGAGATCCGCTAGTGAGCGACGCCTCGTGGTACCATCACAGAGAGGCTCAAAATTACTTTCCAGCACATTCTCGTTCACTGTTCCCGGCTGCTGGAACGATCTTCCCACCCCTATCCGGAATGCTGAATCCCTGACCATTTTCAAGCAATAGCTGAAAACTCATCTCTTTAAACGCTACTTGACTTCATCCTAAATAAAAAAAAAAAACGTTCTCTTTTTTTATCCCTTCCCTTTCTAGCTTGTACTTATTTGAACAATGCCTGAAACTTGGTATTACAAGCACATCATGTGTCTGTTTGCCTCTTTAAGAAGAATCGCTTGTATTCCCCAATTGTAAGTCGCTTTGGATAAAAGCGTCTGCTAAATGACTAAATGTAATGTAAATGTTATTTCCCTATAGCGGCTAATGAAGCGGAAGTCTCGCCCATAGGCTTTCTTCCACGTTGAAGAAAAAGGTGGATAAAATGGTAAAAATGTTTTTTTTTTTGTTTGTTTTTATTTTATGATGGAAAGAGAGCTTGTTTTATCAAAAGCAACACTTAATATCCCATATCAAAGCAATGTTGTTTTTCAAGGACACATGCGTGTTTCATAAGTGTTTATTTTTTTTAATAATGTATAAACACTAAATAAATATACAGCATATATTGCTTTTTGTGGATTGATAGTCGACACTTAGCAGAGTTAGGGCTGAGGGAACATAAGATTCAGGGAACACATAACACATACATAATACAATTCGTTTGTATTCTGATCATGTGTTCTGATAATTTTTGGATCATTTGTTAAGATGTTTAAAGGGATAGTTCACCCAAAAATGAAAATTCTGTCATTAGGTACTCACCCTCGTGTTGTTCAAAACCCGTAAGACCTTCGTTCATCTTCGGAACACAATTTAAGATATTTTTGATTAAATATGAGGGCTCTCTGACCCTCCCATAGACAGCAAGGTAAATACCACATTCAAGGTCCAGAAAAGTACAAAGATGATCGACAAAGTAGTCCGTGTGACATCAGTGGTTCAACTGTAAAGTTACGAAGCTACGAGAATACATTTTTGTGCAAAGAAAACAAAAATAACGACTTTATTCCACATTTTCGTCTCTACTGCGTCACTTTGGACGCGCGTTCACGACAGTACCATGACGCGAGTGTGTGGAAGCGCTGACCCAGATCCAGCGTGACGACGTAATTAAATGTCATCCTTTAAATGTGAATATTAAGACCCTGCTGAATGTAAATGGATAGAGGTAACAACTAATTGTTTTATTTGTTCATATAACGGTTTTTAAAAGTTACCGTGTTACCATAGCAGATGCACAGCAGACATACTGTTCTGAGATGAGAGAAAATAGATCATTTGTGTTCCAATGATAAATCAAAATTATTAAATGTGAATCTTTTATAAACAATAACATACTCACTGTTTGTTGTGTTTGTTATAATACAGTATTTGATTTGATGTATTTGATAGTTAAAATGACTACAAATTCAGGTTTTTGTCACCTCCGTCAGATGAGTATTTTGATAATATTTCATTATAATATTTTATATTTGTTGAGTAATTGTTGGTCACATGTGAAAGAGTAATCTGTCTGCTAACATGAGATGTGTTTTGAAATGTTAAAAGCATCTTGATTGCTGTTAAAGATAAAGTTGTATTACAAAGTCCAAGGTAAAAAGCACATTTTGATCAAAAGAGAAAAGCAGCAAAGCTTTTAAAATATAAGACACATAAATGTAGTTTCATTTGTCTGAGTACAAGGTTTTATTTATGTATTTATTTATTTTATTTTTTGTTCAATTTTGCACTTCATCCCACTTCTCAAGAATCAGTGACATTTGTTTGTTGTACATTCAGTGCAATTGAGATTCACATTTACATTTGCTTGTCAATGAAGTTGACCATTTGGATTAGCAGAATTGCAGTTTTTAGTTAAAATCTTTTAAAACACACACACACACACACACACACACACTCACACATTGAACTAATTGTATGCTGATTTCCCTAAATAAAGAAGATATTGAGGAAGACTTTGTAATTGTCTGGCCCTCGTCATTATCAAAGTTGCCCATCCCTGATATATATCATAATTAGTTATCTTTCTCTTCGCTTTCACTCATTTTCCAGTTTATCTTAACATACTAACTGTCGTCTGAGTAACTAATGCACAGCACGCAAATAGTACAAATAGAGATTTACATATTTTATTTTCACATTAATAACTTAAAAAGTGACAGGGGTGTTTGTTAGGTTTTACAGTGAAAACTAGAATGATAAAATATGACTAATGACTAATGATAAAATATGAATAATTACACTGTCTGATTTTCCCAAACCCTAAAAGATTCATGTTGGAAATGTCTTGTTCCCCTTCAGGAACTCGAGCTGCGTCGAGATCGCTTTGGGAACGCCCTTGCGTGACCGCGTTCTGAAGCACGTGTCAAATCCGTCCAATGGAGCAGCGAGACGTCACGAGCAGGGTGAGGTAAGCACCAGAAAGCATAAAAGCGCATCCGGCCGGCCGCAAACCAGCTTCTGCTCTTCAGTAGCGCTCTGTGTATGTGTCTGTCTATTTACTGTTGTCTGTCCGCACAAGCACTCATATATAAAAACAATGAGAAAGTCTATGGCGAGCGAACGGCATTACAAACGCTGTGTTTCTCCCTGCCCACGATATCTGGCGGCGGGGGATACACACGATTTGTGTGTCGTTTGTTTAGGAGCGAAGCATGCACGGTCAGCTTTCGAGCAGCTGATTGTCATCACTGCGAGCTCTCGCTGCGTATGCTCCGCTCTCGCCTGGCTGTGTTTGATGAGAACGGCCAGGCTCGCGATCCCGCTGGCAGCGGTCCCGCTGTTGCCGAGGCACAGCGCAGACTGTTGTCGTGGGGATCGCGGGTGGATTTAGCGGAGGGATCCGAGACGGGCTCGTCCTTTTCTCGCTCCTCACCCGCTAGATCCGCGGCTCTCTCTCACGGTTCGGAAGCCCGCGCTGCGGTTTCTTCCCCCCCCAGAGAGAGAGAGCCAGACGCTTCATCTATCTTCCAACGAGGAGGTGGATGTGATGAGTGTCGAGACAGAGGAGACTGTGGACTCGCCACCACAGTCCCTCGCGTATGAGGTGTGATTCGTGATTATGGGGTGTGTTTCGTGCATTCGCCAAAATAAAATATCGTTTGGCCAGCCTAGAAACAGGACGCACGTCCTAAAAATAATTAGACGAGCGTTTTCTGAATCCAGATCACAGCCTTCACGACGGGGGCCTTCCGTTTTCCCCGATCTCCATGCTGAGGTGTCAAGATCGTGGGAGAAACCGTACTCATCCCGTATTACAGCCCCACAGTCTCGAATTATTCAAAAGAACATCGTGGGGCTGAATGATAAGGTATATGGGGCGATGCCAGTGGTGGAGCAGACGCTTGCGAGCTATCTCTCCCCATCCTCAGCATCGTCCCTGAAGGCCCCGAAGCTTCCCACCAGGCCCGTTAGGCTTACATCGAGTCTGGTTGGGAAAGCTTATACGGCGGTAGGTCAGGCTGGCGCATGTTTGCACACCATGGCGGTGTTACAAGCATACCAGGCTGACCTGCTCAGGGGTGGGGCTGCTGAGCGGCAGCAGCCCAAGCCATCAAGCTCCTCATATCGCCAGTCTCAAAAACAGAGCGTTGCAACCCGCACCCCCCCACAGAAAGATCGGGGGTCGGGGCAACGCTCTCAGTCGGGGTCTTCTAGACCGAAAACGGATCTGCGGACCGTTATTTGTCTAAGAGGACCTCGGCGAAATGGTCCTACCATTGTCAGGTCCCTGAGGGCAGCCCACCTGGAGAGGAAAGGATAACACCTCAGTATACGGTGCCCAATCCTCCTCAGTGCCCTCACGGAGGCTTATTGATACCCCTGCCACCCTCGGTGCTTCAGGGCTCAGTGAGCTCCGACGAGCGAAAATCCCAGCTGCCGCCCGGCAACGGTACGGCACGGGAGAGCTCGCCCCCTCAAGTGAGGGTGCTACAGCAGTCAGGTCGGTTGTTCCTTCAGTGCCCTCACGGAGGTTCATTGATACCCCTGCCACCTCGGTGCTTCAGCGCTCAGTGAGCTCCGACGAGTGAAATTCCCAGCTGCCGCCCGGCAACGGTACGGCACGGGAGAGCTCGCCCCCTCAAGTGAGGGTGCTACAGCAGTCAGGTCGGTCGTTCCCTGCCGGTCATCCGCTTCAGGGCACCGAACTGGCTCCTCTAATAATACCAGAGGCCAGCCTCGAGAGGCTGGTTCCCTTAGTAGATTTTCTGGTAGCGTGGAAACTTCTACCAAATATCTCAAAATGGGTCCTGCAGATTGTAGAGAAAGGTTACAGAGTCCAGTTCGGTTCTCGTCCGCCTCGTTTCAACGGGGTCATCCCCACACTAGTGGGCCCCGAGCAGGCTCTGGTAATGGAACAAGAAGTAGATACTCTCTTGAGGAAGGGGGCCATAGAACGTGTTCCTCCTCTCGAGAGAGCGTCCGGGTTCTACAGCCATTACTTCATCGTTCCGAAGAAGGATGGGGGGGTTGCGTCCGATCTTAGATCTCCCTCTTCTGAACCGCGCTATCAAACGGCTTCGGTTCAAGATGCTCACTATCAAGCAGATAGTATCTCAAATCCAGTCCGAGGACTGGTTTGTTACGATAGATCTCAAAGACGCTTACTTCCATGTTTCCATCCTCCCTCAACACTGGAAGTTCCTAAGGTTTGCTTTCGGGGGCGAAGCATACCAATATCGAGTTCTTCCCTTCGGCCTGTCACTCTCACCCCGCACTTTCACGAAGTGTGTGGATGCTGCTCTGGCTCCTCTGCGACTCCAGGGCATCCGCATACTCAATTACATCGACGATTGGTTAATACTAGCTCAATCGGAGCAGATGGCGGCTCGGCATCGAGATGTCGTCCTCGCCCATATGAGAGAGCTGGGGTTAAGACTAAACGCCAAGAAGAGTGTTCTTTCTCCACTACAGAGAACCACTTATTTAGGCGTAGTGTGGGA